CTTTCCACAGCCCGTCCATTCAGCATTGATAATCTGCATGTGCTTCAGCTGGACTGTCGACAAATCGCTTGGTGCTCCAGTTTCAAATTTGGACAGGAATCTGGTGACATATCCAGAGGCACCAAGTGAAGTGCTGCCCATTGAGCCGCTGCTAATCTATCCCGAAACGCAGGAGTTTCTCTATCAGGCGCGCACAGCGGCGGGCGATGGGGAGCAGGACATAATTTACGTCAAGTTGCTCCCGGACAAATTGGATGGCTATCGACCCAAGCAGCAGCGACTTGTGGAGAAGCAGCAGCGGCGCAAAGAGCTGAGCATTAAGGACATATTCTTTGTGAAGGCACGGGCCAATGGACAATTCAGTCACGAGCGCCTAAAGGTCTATCGACTGCCCGAGTTCTATGCGATCACCGTTTTCCGCAACGGCGATAAGTGAACAGGCGAAGGGTAGTTCCGACTGCTGCATCCTTGTTGCACTTAAGCTTTTAAGTTTTTTATGTTATGTATATAAGCCGCTATAAATAAATGCCTCTGGAGTTGTTTAAGCACTGCCGAAAGGCTCTTATCAGACACGCTTTGGCGAGACGATTTACATGCCATTTCAATTATCCATAACAAAGGCGGCCGCAGTTGCCGCTGAATGATGGGCGGTGGCAACAGCGCCAGCCCTCCAAAAGCCCCTGACAAGTTCAATTTCACGCGCTTCGCACCGGGCTCACGTCAAGCGGCAATTAATAACTGTCAGTCAATTGGTTGCCACAACTAAAGCCAACTCAAAGCTCCAGCATCACAACAAAGAACTAATCCCCTTTTGTCATCGGCCAGCACAGACCGCGGGCCAAACATTACGTCAAATTCATAGAAAGCAAAAATAGCAACAAAATGAAATGAATGGAAAGCCATCATGGAGCCCCTGTGCGAATACACTCGAATAGACATAAGATAGTTGCTAGCTGCAGTTGGCGATACCGGGGAAAAGTCGAAAGTAAACCGAAAACGAAGATCTTCAAAGAGAGGCAAATGAACATTTTAAATAATTACTCGACTAGGAATTTACCTAGTACTCATCTAAACTTCTATTCATTTTTTCTTAATACTAAGTTATTGAATTTTCATATGCCCATAAATCTAATCTGCAAGCCTATATGTTGAAATAATTAATGATGAATGATGAAGTACGCTAAACCTGCTTTGAAAACCCGATT